AATGCAGACAATTCCATGAAATAAGCTTCATGAATTGCTCTGGTGATAGCAGTCTGTTCCCAGATGCTGTCTTTTCTGTGCTCCTCAGACTGAACAGCATGACAGCTGTGGTCAGAGAATGTGTCCAAAATGCAACTCCAAAGCAAAACAAAAAACATTTCCAAGGAATACTGACTGAATTGGACCTATTCATTTCCTCACAATCACACTAATTCATGTGATCTATGGCCTGTCTTTGCTATTTGAAGAAAAAATTTAACATGATTGATGAAAATTTAGATATTGCTGTTTTGAAATGTGATTATGTTACTTAAAATGACAAAGTTAAAAACAAAGCTGCTTTGCCTTGTTCTGCCTTACAAGAGCAGCCTTGTATAGAAATACATTATACGGTTATATGCATATATAGAATCATAAAAATATCCAGGAAAAGATTTTCAAAACAGCCAAGTCCAAGCATCAACTTGACTTATCGTGTTCCATCACTAAACAGTGTCCCTTAGTGTCATGTACATGCTATCTTAAACGCCAACAGGGATGGGGATTCCTCTACTTCCCCAGACAGTTTCCTTGTGTTATTGAGAAGATGCCTCTGTTTTTATTAGCTGGAAGGAGGAAGATAAAGTAGATCAGGAATAAGATTGTGAATGAATTCTGCTCTAACAGGAAAATGTGCAGTGTGAATCAGTAGTCTGCATTAGTTTTTAAGATCTTAATTTCAGCATGCTGGATTCTCATTTGCTGTCTAGAATACAGAAGATAAGGAACCAACACAAAAATGAAACTCCACCCTCTACTTCATACAGAATTTCATCTCACATGAAAAGACACTTCAATGAGGCATACATCTGGGGCTCAAATAAGTATTAATAGATAGCAGTTGCTCAAAAATTTCTGGTAAATCTTTTGACGTGACTGTGGATTTTACTTTATTAAGTTTTTATTTTAAGCTTTAAACTATTAAGTCATGCTGTAGATGGAGTTTAAAAGGCCTGTTGCAAATGAAAAGAGGAGGAGAATAGAGCAACCTAGAAAAGAAATGCAGGAGTGCAAAAGACTGAAAATTCAACTCTGTTCTTCTTACACAAAATGCCAGTCTTTGTGTTATTGTGCACAAAGATCCTTCTCAGTTTACAGTTATCCTGTTCCCTATCTTTGTTACTTTGTATGTCCATTTCAACCTCAAGATCAACCAATGCATTCTTTGCTATGAGCCCTGCCTCAGAGCTTTCAATGATTTCTCACATGGTGGGATTTTCTGCTTCACTGTTCTGTATATTTAATGATATTATACAGACTATTTCAAAATAGTAAATTCTTTCTTACAGTACCCTTTTGTTTTACAACTACTTAACAGTTATGATCTTTCTGGTTACCTAAAATAGTCAATATCTCAGTGTGAAACACAGTTTTGATGAAGATATTAAAAACCACATTCCATGTTTTCAGTGCCCCCTCCACCCCAACATGCCTGATGTCTGCTCATACTTTTAGTATCATATAATGTTGAGTTTTGGTAAGAATTACCATATCTATGCATCTATTGTTAAGTCTAAAATCAATTACTTATACAATGCTTGCTCCAAAAGTAATTCCTCTTGTTTTATTATGTTGGCCCACAACATCAGAGGTGGATGTTGGTGTGGTAGTTGAACATTCCCATCAATATTCTATTTTGTTGCTGTGTGACAGATGGCAGCAGAGGGGCAGTGGGCAACAATGATGCCTGGTATTGAAGTGCATGTGAAGCAAAGGTGTGGGACTGAATTTGCTTGCTGAATGTTTATGAAGGCCAAAAAGTGGCTGTGAGCACAGTGTGATGGTGAGTGGTGCATTTCAGCAATGGTGACTGCAGTGTGAAAGACAAGCCATGTTTCAGATGGCCATGCAGATTTTTGAGTGCAATAATTTGAGTATTCAAAGCAATTATAATATCAGTACTTAAATTTCCAGTACTGCAGGAAGATTGCTCATATATTGGCTTACTGTATGTCAAACAAAAACAAACCTGAAAACAAGTAGATGCTCTTCTTATGTTAGAGCATTTGAAGAGCTAAACTACTAAGTATAATATGAGATAAACAGTTTCAGAGGCAGTGGGAAGAGTTGGAGATCTTTATCAATCAGCAGAGTAGATGTTTAGCTGGGGATGGTGCATGGAGCAGGACTGGATCAGCTGAGTTCAGACCAGCTCTAACTCCTGGAGCTACTGCCACAACTGGCTGCCTCCATGTGGCTCTTCAGCCTGACACAATCAGTGCCTATTTCATGTCTATGATGCTTTAAACAAACAAACAAACTAATTTTGTTTCCAGCCCCTTTCTCTTAAAAATTCATGGTAAGTTTTGTTTTCCATACAGTTTAGCTATTTCTATGTCTCTATGCCTTGTTTGTTTTTCTTTATTTTGCTGTGATCTGAAAATGCAATCTAGATAGATATGCTGTCAGGAAGCATTGAGCCCTGCTGTGTAATGATAGGAATGATTAGTTGTATTTCTGTCTTACTGTCTGTCCTCTTCAAAGAAATGTTAAAGCTCTCAGGCACTTCAAGAATAGCGCTGGGGCTTGCTGTGTGTCTGTGATGAAATGTAGGTCAGAAAGGGTGTGGGTTATTAAATGTTCTTTAAACTGAAAGGAATGATTGTCCTTTTGCGTAATTAATGCATTAACTGCCCTCAGTGTTGCTGTGGCAGGCTCTAGGGGCTTTTCAGAGACAGCAAAGTGCTGTTGGTTTTGTTAAACAAAGAATCTTGTATCATTACCATAAATTATTTCTTTTTCTAAAGATTGGAAATTTTGTTTCATCCTTCAGATGCAGCATTAAAGTCTGTTCAGAGAGACATTCCTGAGGAGATCTACCCAATGTTAAAACACTTTTGCCTGGGGAGTGTTCCTTGGCTCAGTCCCATTTCCATATGGAAGTCATCATCCCTTCTTATGTAAAAATATTAAGGGCATGTAGAGATATATACTGTTTAGCCAGGGATGTTCTATTGATACCTGTGTGTTCTTCATTGGTTATATCCATATCCAGTCCCCGTGCTGGGGCTGTCCAGTGGGGTAATTGTCAGCTTGGGAGAAATGACATTACAGTATTTTTCTTTATTTGAGGTTGGGGTTTATAAGTCATGTTCTGAACTGGAGGTTCTGCCTTAGTGTCCAGTTTCGATAATTTCCCTAGCAGCAGATGTATAGATGAATCCTTCACTACTTCCTAACGTTAGAAATCTTGAACTTTTCAATTCCTGAAGTTTGCTATCAAGAGAACGTACAAACAAGAGTACAAATAAAACAGTCTGATTTTCTTCAAGTTTGAATTATTGCCCTTGTTGATATAAGGCATATTTCTACTTCTGGACTTCTAATTATTCTGTGTTCACCTCTGAGTTTCCTAGCATATCAGCAGGAAGCATAATTTTGGCCTGACTCTCGAAGAACCATTCTTTTCACTACTGAATTGATCTTTGTCTCGTAAATTTTGTTGGGAAATTGTTTAAATACAAAGCATGGTTTTCCTGCTTTTAAGTCCCGTTTTAAATTGAGTTGATCATATATTTTTAAATTCAGAATAGATAGTAAAGGAAATGTTTTAGCATAATCTAGTGAGTATGCTACCATGAAGTTTCTGATGTAGCTGTATTCCTGGTTGGTGACCTACCAAACTGTTTTCGAAAAAATGCAATTTACAGTTTATTCATCATAAGTTAACCTTACCCCAAATAAATAAATACAGAAATAAGCAAAGCTTACCCACAGAGTAATCTGTGAGAAACTCACGCCAGTGTGAAGGGAGCTTCCTACCACTTGTCTTACTAACCTTGGATTCTATGAGTATCTTGGCACAGGGAGTGATAAAGACTCTTTCATTCCATAGAACATCCTTGTAAGATGGTTATCTATATTAAGACTAGCAAGCCATGACTCTTACAGGGTTGTTCCCATCCTTGGCACTTGATGATAAAGAGTACTGAAGAAGCGAGTCCAGAGCTTACTGCAGGAAATGGCCAATAGTAAAGAGAATATATTGCTCTATGGTTAAATCACAAATGAAGGTGGGAGTGATTCCAGTACTTTTTGTTTAGAGGTATGAATGCAATCACATAATCGAAAGAGTGTCAGTAGACTTTGCCTACGCCCTTTGTGTTACAATCTGAGTTTAGGGAAACTTGTTTCCTGCAGTACAGACCTTTTGCTGTTGACATTATGATGACTTTTTATAGTATATGCGAAAGACAAACATGTCTTTCATACCAAACCTGTTGGTATACTTAGTTGTTGCTCGGTGTCTGTGATGTTCAGTTTTTCAGTGAATATTTTTCTGTAATTTGGCACAAGAGTGCCAGGTACAGTCAACTTTCTGAGAAAACCTGCTTCCAGCACGCTGCTGTATGAGGTCCATCATTGCAGCTAAACAGCCCAATGCAGGATGACCTTCAAACCTGGCTGCAAAAAAAGTGATTGTCTTTGAATTTCTGAGATGCTGCTGTGGAAACAGAAGTGAAGTAACTTCTTTAACATAAGGGTATTAGAAAATTGCAAAGCTGCAAGAATTTCTAGTCTCTCCAACTCCAAAAATAAGGAAAGGAACAAAAGTGAAGACTTTTGACTGGAACCTGACCCAACTGTAAATGACTTTGTGACTTTCAAAGGTGCTTAAGAATATTTTGTACTTTCATACGTTAAGCAAAAATGCATATATTCCGTAGACGTTTTCTCTTGAAGTTCAACTACATGGACTAAGTAAAAACAATCTGACACGGAACTGGGGTGGCACTAGGCAGATGCACGGCACCGGGCGCTGTGTGGCAGCGCTGGGTTGTTGCTGCCGGAGCCGCTGACCTGTACCCGCGCTGGCTTGCTGCCCGCACGCAGCTCGCGGCGCTGGGCGCGGTGCCGGCGCTCGGTGCCACCTGCCCGCGGTTCCCGGACGGCTCCGGTAACACGAAACCAGTCCTGCTGGGTGTTGTTCGTGGCCCTGCAGGCTGAAGTCTGCATTCCAAATGCGACCTGCTGCACAGCGGGAGGGAGTCTCTCCTTTTCCTCCCTTGCTCCGTTTCGAGGTGCTCGCTCGGGCCAGCCGAGACCCGAGAGCACCGCACAGCATTTGCAGTGAGAACTTCAGAATTCACACCTCGGGTTTTCACTTGACTGGCTTTCCGGGATGATGGCTTTATCACGGAAGAGCCTTATCCATGCGGAAGGCCCATGCAGAGGAGTGCTCGGGGAGCTCCCCGCCGCAGGTTCCCGGCCCGCGTCCTGCTACGAGGAAGTGGCGCGCCGCCGCTGCGCGCTGCCCCGGCTGGGAGCCGCGTTTATATAGCCGCGCTGCGAGTAGGAAGTCGGGCAGCCAGTAGGATTGCGGGAGAGGGAGCAGAGCCACTGGTTGCGCTTCCAGCCGGGATCGGCGCGCCGGCACAGCCGCTGTGACAAAAAGCCCTTTGTGCGAGGGACTGAGCGCCGGAGAGCTTGCCGCGTCCTTCCCTATTTCCTACCGGAGCCCGGGCAGCCGATGGGCGGTGGCGCGAGAAGCAGGAAGCAGCGGGAGCGCGGCCCGGCCGCTGCCTGCCCTCCCCGGGCCCGGCCCGCCGACGCGCAGCGCTGCGTGCGGTGAGCGCCGGTCCCCAGCGCCCGCACGGAGCTGGAGCCGCGCCCCGCGCCCAGCATGGAAGGAGGAAACGCGGGGTGCAGCCGGCAGCTTCCCGAGCGGACGGGTCCCGCGGAGAGTGAACCGGACGTCTTCACCACTTTTGCGGTCAGAGCGTTTTTTGGACTTACAGCCAAGTTGGAATCGGTAACTCCCAAAGAAGAAGAAGCAGTGCTTAAAGCGTTTCAACCTTTGCACACCAATGTCAACACTCTGGCTAACAATCGGTATGAGAGGAATGATAATGATGGTGTTGACGACTCAGAAAACCAGCACGGCGCAGGCTGTACCAGTGACCAGGGTGACCCGATGTCTGGTAGCCGTGCTGAACTGGAGCCGGAGCCGGCAGGACAGAATGAAATACTTCTTCCCCGTTTAAGGTCTGTACAGACTTCTTTGTCTGAATCTGACAACGATGCTATTCTCGTACAAGGTACTTTGGTTCACACAACAAGTGACACGGAATCAGATGGTGAGAGTAAGGACCCAGATGCTGATGAAACCAACACAAGCAAATGTGGGCTAAACAATGCTGCTTTGTCTGCTGTGGCTTTGGACGGTAACAATCAAAGTAAGGAAGAGTCAGATTCAGAAGGGTACAGACACAGCGATGACACTGTGGGTAGAGAAGACACTGAGTTATACCCACCAATTTCTCAGTGGTTTCCCAGAGAGCTGGACAGCGTTCTGGAGTGTGATTCCAGTGGCAAAGACAGAACGTTAATGGATGAGCAGTTCAGTTCCTTGCTTGCTACAGGGGAATGCCCTCCAGAAATTCCAGGTGAGGATCAAAGGCCTTCAGTTGATAATGCATCTCTCCATAAAACAGCACTGGCTGAAAAAAGTTTCCAGCTGCCTGCTTTTTTTAGTGGCCTACGTGTGAGGAAAAAGGGACTAAACACAGAGGATGGGGAAACTATTACAGAAATTAAGCCAAGGGAGAATGATTTAGCTCTGCTTAAATTACGACAGCCTGTTAAGAAATCCAACATTACATCAGGTTTGACCACAAAAAAGAAATCATCTGAACCTAAAGCAAGTCCTACTTTCCTGGAGCAGCTCTCTCACCTGTTAAACATAGACGTCTCCAAGAATGATGAGAGAACCCAAGATTCTGGTGCAGGGTTTGGGGAGACTGAGGACAGTGATGAAGGCCCAGAGAACAAAGCCTCTGGCAAAACAGAGCCACTGTTTCTCTCTGAGGAAATAAAATCAAGCCCTGCTGAATCTGCACTGGACGTCTTTAAAGCTTTATTCACACGACCTCCCAAAAAAGAGACAACGGCAGATCCTTCAGAGCTGGAAGCCATCAAACGCAAAATGAGAAATGAGAAAGAGTCCTTGAAAGCTGTATTTGAAAGGTCAAAATCTAAACCTGGCGACGGACCATCAGACAAATCTGTAGGTTGGCTTATTTTTTCTTCCTAAATCTGGAAGTAGATAGATATAAAATATTTTGATTTTTAAAATTAGTGGTGGGGACTTAAGGTCAAAGTGTAGAAAAGTCTTCTAAAAGGCAAAGTCTTCTACTTTTGAGACAGTCTCAGGTTTTGGATTCCAAGCTGAAGAAATCTTGGGGCAAATTTTTCAAAATTGTTGATCATCTGCAGTTCTAGCAGAACTTAGAACTGATAATCACGGTTTGTAAATAAAAATCAGAAAATAAACACAAGTTTTTCATTTTAAAAGATCATTACAAAGCAGTTTTCCATATGCTAAGTAGTGTTTAAAGTCAGTTTTGTATTACAAATATTTAATGTAATGTACTTACTGGTCTCTCAATCTCGCTCTGTTTTCTTTTTTCAGTTTGATTGGCTTTTGTTTTTTAATTTTTACAACTAATATTTCATTTAACCTTTAGGAATAATTCTAGGGTAAGAACTGATACAATAACTTACAGGTTAATTCAGTTTAATTTGTCCAAGATGTAGAACTTAAAAGAATTTATTTCTTATTTACATATGTACCTGGCTTTCCATATATTGATAAGAATTTAATCTTATCAGAGTGTGACTGAGGGTGTCCAATTAGACCACTTGAGTTATGGTTTAATACAATCATTTGCAAGGTGATTGTTTGTATGTGCCTGGATATTTACTAATGTTTAAGAAATGAAAAAAAATTGTGTATATGTGCACAATGATAAATGAGCTTGAGTGCAATTGAGACTTGGATGAGCAGCCATCACTTTCCCAAACCTAAAACTCTTTCAGCTTCTCCTTTGCAGTTGCAATCAGTTCAGAAGCGTGCTGTAGGCTAACAGGGAAATTTACCCAAATGATTAAATTTGCAGGGTTGGACCCTAAGCCTGATAAGTTAATTTGCTGTGCTGGTTGCACTCTCTTAAAATTTTTATTCTTACACATAATTAAAACATTCATAAAAATGACTGACACCTGAGCAGACTGATAATACCAGTTTTAAGTAAATTACCTATGGGGAGGAGAAAAGAGGCACTCATGGGCCACGGCATGTATGGCAATTACAGTGCATGCATGCCCTTCCCACCTCTGGGCTGCTGGTTCCTCCTTACACCATTCTCTGGCTGTGCTGGCGTAAGCGTCTGTGTGGCTTGCAGCAAGCCAGGTCGGGAGGGAGGAGGCACAGCCGTCAGCATGAGTGGCTCGAATGTCAGCTCTCAGCTGGCCTAGTACAAGCTAGGCCAGTTTTCCCTGGGCAAAGCCGAGGTAGAAGGGTCTTGCCCTGCCTTTTTCCATGTCTAAATGAGCATTTTATGGGGCCACTTTCATACAGCGTTCTACTGTTGCTGCAGTTGTGTCTACACGATGACTCATGTGTTGTAGATCAGATTACAGAAATGCTAGGTTGAAAAAAAGACCGCTAAACAGTTCTTGTTTTGCTTGTTTATTGTTAATGTTTCCCACTTAAATGGAAAATTTCACCATTCCAATTGACAGCACAGTGCTTTTACCAGCTGCAGCAGCAATTTGATGTGGCAGCATTATGTGGTATGTGGACTGAGCAAGCTGCTGTGGGTGGGGCAGGAATTTCTCAAACCAGCTCTGCTTCCAGAAATCGTATCATCAAACAATGTCTCAGGTGAATTCCACCAATGTTCACTTGTAAGAGGAGTGAGGATGAGGCCTGGCTTTTTGCTCTGAAAAAAAAAAAAAAATGTATATCTTCCTACATATATATACATATGTATATATAGGAAGAAAAACAAGTGTTTCTCACATCTTCGGTTCTTCAAAGCATAGGCAGCTTTCTGTGCCGCTGTAAACAGTTTCAACAGAATCATTGTACGTCACATGCATTAAGATATCTTCCTCCTCAAAATTATTTTTCTACATTTTTCTGTACTGGTTTCTTTGTGTCCTGCTCGAGCACTGTTTGAATGATGAGCTTTTTTGAGTTGAGTATATACGTAGAGCCAGATATCTGCTTTGAAACAACTGATACTGCCTACTTTAATTTTTTTTCTTTCATAATTTCAACAGCCTGATCTGAGTCCCTCAGAGCAAGATGACAAGACTCCAGGGAGACTCCAGACTGTCTGGCCACCACCGAAGGCAAATCATGAAGAAGTAAAAGTAGGATTAAAGTACACAGAAGCAGGTAAAACAAAGAGGTGAAGCATTCACAGAAATGAGTTTCTGACACTTTAAATGTTGTTTAAGATAGAGACAGTGATAATCACAGTATTTTCTTATCTGGAAAAAACACACCTTGCTGTTTACTGTTACTTGTTAAGCACCTGACTTTTAAAATGCAAAATGGATAGATGTGTTGACATCTAAATTCTTGCCCTTTTAAGTTTCACAAGGAAATAAGTGCTTTTTGGTACAATGGGTTATCCATTTGTAGTGGGATTCTGTTCAAACAAGCGACAGAATACTGAAGGAAAGGAGACCTGTCGTCTGTGTTCATTGGCAAGGGCAATGACCTGCCTCAAACACTGCCTCAGAAGAATTAAGTAGAATTTAAAACTAAGCTTTCATACTATCTTGCTGTGAGAAAGTGTTCATGTTGATATTATGTGGTTCTTTCCAGTTCCAGTGGATATCCATTTGCCTTTGTACTAGGAGAATGAATATATAGGCATAGGAGATCTACTCCTTCATATTGTTCAGTGTATTACTTTTTTTTCTTTCTTTCCTCAGCCCTTTCTACCTTAATTTGTTTTTTTTTTTTTTTTTTTTTTTTTTTTTTTTTCTTCTGTGTGTTTTTAAACTTTGAATGCATGATTGTAGATGTTGTTGAAAGGAACTGTGTTGTTCTAATATTGGCAGAATTGGATTTACATTGCTTCTGTCAGTCTGGGATGTGTGTTTGTCATTAGATAGTCAGGGCAAGTTTTCTGTAATGATACGGGTATTCAGCTGCACTGCAGTCTCTTTCTGTTAAGCTTACGTTCTTATAACAGGCTGTGTACTTGCTGTATTTAATTTTCCACAAATAAATATTTTTTTTTCTGCTAATGACTATAATTATCTGTAGCAAAAACACATGGCTGAAAGAAAGAAAAGAAACTGAATTAACAAAAGCTCCAAATTCTACTACTTGTAGAGAATTTAGGTCATGCTTTCCTGAAATTTGAATAGAAAGGGCAGACTGGCTCAGAGCCCATGTAAATTGTTACTCTTTTGTTTCGGTGTTATTTTGGGTGGCAGTGTCATCAACATGGTGACGATTAATTTGCTAAGTCAAGTTTTTATACAGACCAGATTCTTTAGTTCATTAGTCACCCCAGCGTCTGGCAGATGGATGGATCTGTATGAAAACAAATCGCTGGTGATTCAGAGGATGAGACAGAAGTGGTGCTTTTAATGGAAACAGGCAAAGACTGTTTTTTAGAAGTGCAGCAGACTTAAAGGTGTTAGCACGTTCGTAGTTCAACTCTGATAACATTCATGGATATTCAGAAAGCAGTCATGGAAGCAGGGATTTTGACATGTGGGGCAGCTACACCGGTCTGCTTTACTGAGAACCAGGGGGAATGTTATGGACAGGAGTGTTTATATGTGGTCTCCTGCAGGTGAAGGATGGTACTGTTCATGAGAGTAATGCAGATATAATTATAACAAGAGTTTATATTCAAGTTCTCTCATATCTCTAGTTGTTTGTTCATTTAATGAAAGTATCAGTTCAGGATTGTTTCTAATCTCAGTCTCTCCAACAGAGATTGGTGTCTGCAGAGAACGTTTATGTACTGACATTTCCCCTTACACCCCTTCCCATGTAAAGTTGCCTCCCAGCTACCAGTACCTGAGGAAATCTGTTGTCAACAAAATAGAATTCTTAATAATCTATTGTGAAGCAGGTTATTGATGATCATTATGCTTAAACTGGATTTGTCCCATAACCTGAAACCCATTTCTGACCAACAGTGCCTTGTTCCTACAGTTCTGATGAAATGGAAAGTTCTTGACTTTTAAGTCAAGTTCAGAAATTATCTACGGCAGGGATCTTTCTGATTTCAGTCTGCCCCCGGTGGTTTTCCTGAGCAGATGATTATTAGTAGCATAGAGCAAACTAAAATTACTTAACAATTTAGTTGAAGCTACCAAAAGAATAGAAAAAAATATGAAATATTTTATATAGATTCATATTGGAACCTACATTACAAACAATAACAGTATGTAGAATTATTAGGTAAGTTCATTTAACACAGCTTTCTTTTTTTCTTTCAATCATGTCCAAGGAGAAATCTGTAGACATATGCCCCAGTATTTATAACAGGGTACAAGAATACGTACTTTTTTTATGAGGTAGTATAGCTTTTTTCATTTGTTATGAGAAGTGGTGTTTAAAGTAAAAGTGCTTGAAAACTTGCAAGCTGGAACATTGCGATCTTTCTTACAATTCTCTTCTCAGTTATTGTTTTTCTTCCATCACAGTGAAATATGACAGGAAGGCAGAGATATTGAGAGAGAATTACTAGCTTTTTGATCTCTCATCTCCTTGCCATGCTTTTCCTCGTTATTCTTGCTGCCTAGTAAAAGCAAGAAATTCAGGCTTAGTTTGGCCTATGCAGCAGACATCCCAGTGACTCACAGCAGCTTGGAGGAGCAGCAAATTCCCTACTGAGGCTTGGAGTCTGGCTTAGTGTGTGAGAAACCAATTGAACAGAAAATGGATGTAACAAGGAACACATGTATGGGACTGACTGGGCCTGTTAGGAACATGACAACTGGAAGAAGTTAGTGTACAAGTAAAAGTCCTCACCAGCTGTTTTTCCTGCCTTTGATAACATTTTGTGTAGTCATTGTATCATTACCCTGGACATCTAAAAATTACCAGTAAATATCTCTAAATCTTGAGTTGCAAATTTTGAATTAAAAAAAAAAGATGATACTACAAGATTTTGGCACATATTATGTTTTCTTAACCATTAATTCCTCTGTTTCCATAATGCAATTCAATGCATTGTACTGTACCTTCATAGTTAAAACAAACTGTTTCTGTGGGTCTCTAGAGAAACTGGAATTTCTTTGAAATGTATCAGTCTAAAAATTCAGTAAGCCTGTAGTAAATCAAAATATTTATATCCTAGAAGACTGAAACTGTAATATTTTAACTTATAGTTATAAATTTATTTATTTTTTCCATGAAAATCTTTCCTATGTTTTCAAAGACATTTCTGTGCGTATTTCTCTGGTCCTAAAATTCTGTTCTTCAGTTTTCATTAAAACTTCTTTTTCTTTTCCTCCATAGTTTTTCGAGTTATTTCTTCCATTGCTTATGCATTAAATCTAACAAAAGTGTGAATATGTCAGCTATTAAATAAGGTGAGATCACCTAGTCGGATAGAGAAGACAAACTCATACCTATACTGAGTGGAGTCATAGAATAATATTGGATCACATAGAATCCACTACAGTGGATCTCATCTACTCCCTCAGGCTAGATCAGAGCTTGCAGCCTACCGTATCTAAGAAGGGGAGTTTAGAAATGAATGCTATTGCCTTTAAAATTGTTTAATTTGCAACAAATTACAAATGAAATACAAAATAATGGCAGAGGTACCAAGTTTTACATATGTTGAAACCTTGGGTTCTGTATGCTCCGGATTTCTAGCAAGAAAATTCATTTTATGATCTGTTTATATATGTCATAAAGAAAGGCATAACAATCTGAATGAAGAGATCAGAGATAAGAATGTGACTTCATATCCATGTTTAACATAGGATTAAGTTCGTCTCTACAACAGAAATAATCCTTGATGGCTAATATCCTGAAGGAAGCTGTTGTAACAGTTGCTGCTGACGTTAATTTCATCTTAAAACAAAACAGAAGTTTATTTGGTAATTTCAATCTATTTGATTTCAGTATGGTTATTCAGTTTTTAATCCTGTGACTATGACAGTGTGCCAGGAATTATGTGTTAATTGAAGATGGTATTATGATTTTATGGTCACTGATCAACTAGATGCTCCCTCAGACTGTAGGTGTACTGCACACAGCTTTTGCGGATTTTCTTACTACATTTTACTGCATTTATTGTGTAGTGTGATAGGCATGTTTAGTCATATTGCGTCAGTGTTTCATGGCTGACAAACACACTGACTTATTATTGAGAAGTTGAGGGTTATTGCAAGCCAGATTGATGCAGTCATATTGCATTCCACTACAACAACGTCTTCTCCCCTTACTTATGCCAACTAAACCTGTTATTTTAAGGATTTGGAAGGTACAGAAAACCATCTGCTTGGAAATCTACATGTTCTCAGACCAGTAAGTTGTGAATGTGTTGTGTTGATCAATTCAGCAGCCTTTTATTTATTTATTTATTTTTAAAATTGCCTGGGGTTTACTATGAAAATATATTTAAAGCAAACAAACAAACAAACAAAAAAACTCATGTCTCATACCTCGTTTATTTACTTATTTATTTAATAGTGATATAGAGATGTTTCTCAACTTGCAAGGCAATTACTTATCAAACTGAAGGCCTATTGAGAACTGTGGTACATTAGCACTCCAGGCTGTGAAGAGGAACACTACTCACCTCCTCTTCTTGCCTACTGGAGGGCATGCAGGTCTTATGAAAAGGGAACTTTTGTTTCCCTGCTTCAACTGATACTGTCATTCCTTCTGTGCCTTTTAAGATAGGAATAAAACGCCAGGCATCTAATAATGCAGAAGGTTTGATTGTGAACTGACTTGAGGAAAAATGTGAGTCGCCCTTCCAAGCTTTGGTTTACCCTTCTGTGAATCTGGCGTAAGAATCCTTACCTAGTTTTCAAGCCAAATGCAGTTCCTTTTTTTTTTCTTTATAGGTTAATGTAAAAGCAGCAAATTGTAAACGAGTATTGACTTCTTATTCTAAAATCTGCAGATAATAATGCAATATAGAAACTATGCCTCAGGCTGTCTGATAAAATGGTCAGGCCATTCTATATGCAGCTCATTATATTATTGCAGTTTGAAGAGGGAGAAGAGGTGTGCCTCACTTTTTAATGAAGATCCTTGATTTATATATCCAAGTTTGTCAAAATACAGGATTTTTTTATTTTTTTTTTTGAGTGGTGATGCATCTGTTGCATCAGATGCCTAAAAGGGTCTTATTTTATAGTATACAGAGCCATACCTGAATACATATGCATGTATATCTGAAGATACTAGTTGTTTGCTTAAGAATTTGTATACAGAGCAACTCTGATCCACTGCATTTTCCTATTGAAGAGATTAATTTATTACCTGAATATAATGAAGGCAAGTTCTGTGAGTTTATTTCCTTCTCTGCTGTTTTTATTTTGAAATGCAAGTACCACTGTGCGTCCTACCAATGTAACGTTACAAAGGTCGTGAGCTGATCACAGGATTTTAGGAGATGGCTACTGTTACTTACCTGAAACGCAATGAAAGAGTGGTTCTGTGAGGCACAAGAATTACTTTGTATTTTATTTCTTTGGTCCTGTTTCAAAATATATCAGGCCCTTTGGGTACGACAAATACCTCAAAGTTTTACTGAATTCACTTCATTGTTTCGCATCTCATTCTCCAGTCTCATTGTTCACATGATCTGTTGTTCCATTTGCCTCAGCATAAACAGCAATTTAAATACTAATCCAGATGAAACTCTAAATCTGAACACCATGAAAAACCCGGATTTAGAATTGCTCTGGGGCTTTCTTTTTACTTAGTCTGGTATCATCCTTGCCCAGTTTGCCTTCCCTACTACATCACAGACAAATATTCTTATCTGTAAAAGAACAAAACAAACCACTACCCCCTGTTCATGTACATTTCATAATTTTGTACATATCCATATTTTAGTGTCTATCCACTGCTCTAAACTCATAGGTTGCTGAAAGTGTATCTGGAAAGCAGTGTGCTTTTGTATATGGATGTTATGTTTGCCTACAGCCACAACCTCCCCACATTTGAATAAATTATTGTATATGTAACATGCATGCAATCTCAATGTAAGCTTACTATACATTGTGTACAGTGATTGAGAAAGTGTCATAGAGGTGAAGGTTGCTGGCCCTGCATGTGGCAGGGGGGTTGGAGGTTCATAAACCTTGAGGTCCCTTCCAATCCTGGCCTTTCTGTGATTCTGTGATTTTCTGTCTCCCTTCTTCATATCTTCCATATTTACATTCTACCAGAATCATTGGGGTGCTGAAACTCATTTTTTAAAGTAAATTTTAAATAAATAAATAAACAAGAGCTGCAGTCTGGAGATTACTTACTGTTACTTAGTCTGGCACCTGGTGGTTAGAGCAGAAAGCTGCATGGGAAGCAATGGAGGAGGAAGTGAGAACTTTATTAAAAGAATTTGAAAATGGTGTAACCAAGGGTCACCAATGAGGCAGAAAAGAATGGGAAGCCCCCACTATTCTGAAACTTAAAAAAAATCAGCTTAAATAAAAGATAATCGACTCTTCAAGGCAGATAGATTGTACTTAAGTTTTCCAGCTTTAGTTCTCTAATTACTTCTGGACTGTTAACAATATTGTGCATATCTATATTTAAGGTGCTTAATAAATGACATGTTTTTACAAAAATAAATGAGTCATTTACCTTTAAATCTTCTACTTTCTACTTGAAGTTTTGAGATCATGAGAGAGAAGGTTCCTAAATTACTTGAAGTTCTGAGGAATAACACAGCAGTTTAAAAGGTCAGTTTTGGAGGATTTTCTGGGAAGGGTTTTCGAGTAAGATTTTACTGTAGTTAAGGGAAGGTAGGTAAGTTGCAAAGAAGAAAATACAATTTTGGAGTATTCTCCATCTAAGTTTGTTAGAAACTTTTCAGGGATCTTGAGGAAAACACGAAGACATTTTTTCTTTCAGGAAGGCAGCTTAGTGTGTTTCTCTGAGTTAGGTTCCTAAGATCTCTTCCTCCCTGCATGAAGGGTCTTCTAAAAACAACAACCACAACAACAACAAAAATTGCCCAGAGGGGTGGTGAATGCCTTGTCCCTGGAGACACTCAAGGTCAGGCTGAACAGGGCTCTGGATAACCCAGTCTAGCTTTAGGTGTCCTTGTTCCTTGCAGGGAAGTTGAACTAGATGTATACTTGCTTTATGCAACAGAGAAACTTTCCTTTGAGAAGGGAAAATTGTCATTCAAATTAGCCAAGAGCATTGTGATGCAGTGTATCTATTATTCCTAAAATTGCAGCTTATATATTTGCTTCCCTATATTTACCAGTGAATGCTTGTACCTTATCTTTTAGAAATGCTGATGCACAGCACAGTTTATTCCCTATCATGACAGAGATTTAAATGAATATGTACTGCATGTATTTGTAAATGTTACTGCTGTTTCGTATACAAATAATTTCTTTGATTACACATCTGAACATATTTTAAGCATTTGCTTGAATTACATACATTGTCTAAACACATAGTGTTTATTTCATGTTTCATGATTTTCTGTGCACTGGGGAAAAACATGCATCTTACAGTGTGCATTTTCTTTGCAAAATAGGGAAGCATAAGTTGTATTTGGCTTGTTTTTAATAATATCATATGTGTTTTTATTTCTACAGTCCAGTGGCATACGTCATATATTTGCTATGGAAATTACTTTTGTTTATGCTGACTCAAGTATGCTTATGATTATGAATAATAAGCACGGACATTGCTGGACTCCCTGCTAGGACACGTATTTAATGAGTGTAAAAATATAAGTTTCCTGCATGAAACTTGAATACAATCTTATGCTTTTGTCTCTAGCTCACCTAAAGCTTTACAAGGAGGGACCATCAGGTGGGTGGAACAGCATAATGTTGTCTGTCTGTCTAGTCTTTGGCCTCTTTTGTTATTGTAAAGTGATATGTTTCTTTCCTTGATACAACAGGAATCATAAAGGCAGAGTCTGCAGTACCTACCAGTGTTTAAGAGTAAAAATTGAATTATGCCAAGATAATTCTGTAGGATAGATGAAGATCTACTTTCAGAACACTAGGTTAATAGACTGTGATTTCAGTTATAACTGTCCTGCTACCCTGCTACAATGCGTGGTACTTAGGTACTTAGGTTGCTTTCTCTGACTTTGAGATCCATCCCATAATGCTGTCAAATTTTACAGAGTTCAGATTTGAAGACTGATCAGGATTCCACAGTGGAGAATGGACTTTACTTTTTTTTTTTTTTTTTTTTTTCTTCCCCCCCTCTTCACATCTTCCCATCAAGACTGCAGGTGACAATTGGGCTGGCAAAATTCTTTCTAAAGTTGTGGGCTCTACTCTTCCATTGTGAAATATATCTTAAATAAAAATGAGGTAATCATTTAACTTAAGCAAAAAGAAAAGGTGAGGTGATTTAATAAATTGTAGCAGCATTCTTTAACTGATTTAAGTAAATACTGTGTATAGAAATGAGAGCTAAATTTTCCATACAGAAATTAAGGTTGGAAAAGATCTTCAAGGTCATCAAGTATGTATAAATCAAATCACTCTGATTTATTTTCCAGGACATAGTGTTCTTATTGTATTTTAGAGCACAAGTGGCCTCTAGCATGCAGAGGGGCCTGAGGTTGTTCCTTCCCTGATGCAGAGCTTTGCATCTCCCTTAGCTGAATTGTGTGAGGTTCTTGTCAGACCATTTCTCCAGTCTGTCCAGGCCCGTCAATATGTCTCAACTACTTCTCCCAGTTTTGTGCCCCATGCAGATTTGCTGAGGGTGTAATTCTGCAACTCTATACTCTGCATCTATTCATAAGTGAACTGGAAAAGCGAGCAGTGAGATGGGAAAGCTTGCAGCTGATATGAAATTGGTTAGAGTAGAAAAGAATTAGAATTGAAAATGCAAAAGACAAGAAATTCAACATTTTGAGGCTGATAGACAATAGCAAAAGAAATCCAAAAATAAGAAATTTATATTGTGCATCTGAGGAAGAAATTCTAAGAGAAAAAAAGTGCTAAATTCACATATGTAATAAATTCTGATCTGATCATTATTCTTTAAAAACAAGACTTTGATGTTGGAATAGAACTTGAGAAATGTAGTTTCAGTGCTCATTAGTGATCAAAAAGTAACTTATAAATTATAACAGCAGGAGTTGTAAGAGAAGAAGACAAAAGTGTAGATCATCCTAATGCTGTTGTATAAATGACCACATTTTGCATTTAATAAGAAATGCTAGATTCAGAATTGTAAAAGGTTCATATAAGGACAGTAAGTTTGATCAAAACTATGGAACCTGCTCTTTATGAAGAAAAATTATATAGATTTGTACGCTGTCCTAGTTTCAACTGGGCAAGAATTCATCAAGATTGATATGATGGAGTTCTCTAAAACCATAAAAAATAGGAAATTACTCTGCAATTTTTCTTCCAGTGGATCCACTGGAGACTTCAAATGAAACTATCAGGTGCAGATTCAAAGTAAACAAAAGGATCTTTACCTACTTTGTAATTAATTCTTTGCTGCAGGATGTTTTCTGCTTACTCGAATTCTAAAATTGGTAATGTACATTCATGAGAGAAATCCACTTGCAACATCTGTGATTTAGGAAGTTCTGAATTGCAAATCAAGTTCCTAGAAGAACTTGAATGTGTGAGAGAAGTACAGCTACATTTTTGCCTGTAGTTAGCTTTTCACATCACCTGCATTTTTGCTACCATCAGAAACAGGACATGAAGCTAAATAGATTTTTGACACAGCTGAATGCAGATACAATTTTGTTCATTAAGAAGGTGAATGATTTTTATTTCAGGATTGCAATCAAAATAGAATCTACATATGACTATTACTTATTACTTCAATGAAGAATTTCCTCCTGTGAGCTAAAATATGTAGCATGTTCTATATTTTTATGTCTTTCTTTTAGGAAGACTCAGCTAAACTTCTCTGTTTGGCTTTAGAAAGTTAGACCTGTGTGCTTCAAAGCTTCTGTGACCTGAGGTGTTTTCACTGTCTTATTTCTGGTTTGAGTTTTGTTACCATACTGTTTCCAAGGGATTTGAGAGCTGACTCCACAATCTGATTGTCGTTTGCTGTAAAGCTAGTGTACAGCATCCTGGGAACCCTTCTCCATTTAATGCAGGCTTCTTCACAGTCCTGCACTCTGTGCTTGGCACTTCTCAGCTTACCTCCACTGGGACTTGCGAAAATAGGAGCAAAAAGTCTGGGGTCCCTTCCAACTCAAGCCATTCTAGAATTACACAGATTAGAAATACATGATGTGAGTAATCTCAGACAAAATAAGATGGTTTTACTTCACTCACTTGAATCTGTTTCTCATTAGAACTCCGGCTTATTTTTCTAGCATTCTACTGCTTTAATTTTCTACAATAACCTTATCTCCCCAGACTAGACATTGTCTTTTTCTAATGCAGCTATTTTTTCCCTACTATGACTTAGTAAAGCTATTCTGTAAAATGTACTTGATTGCACAAATCTTGGGTACCTTTATTTGGAGATAATAATTTCTCTAAAATGGTCTGAATAGCTTTCAGAACTTGGAAAAGTGGTTTAACCTAGGCCAGAGACACCTGCTTCTTTCCTGCTTCTATGTTCAGAGAGTACCTTCATGATCTAACATTGGTGTTGCCTACTGGATATGAAAAATGTATATATGATGAACCCTAGATGCAGAATGTATGGATGTAAAGGATGAAGGTATAGAAAAATAATGGTGATTGGAGAGGGAGGGTGCTTTGTATCATTATTATAATTCTCATGGCAGAGCATGGAGGTAAAATAGACAGTTAAGTTTGACAGTAAGGGGATTTCTATTTTTCTACAGATAATAACTGGCTTATTTTTCCAGTAACGTGCACACAGAGTGGAAGCTTCACACTGCCGTGTTTTCTTTATTAACTGAGTTAAAATCACTGGTAAAATAATCTTTAGCTTTCATTGCAGCCTCTGCCCAGCTTCCTGTATACTTTGCCAACAATGATATTACTTTAAAAAAAGTAACTCATTGAAACATTTTTTCGGTATCATGGCATTTATAAATACTTCCATAGCTACTGGAAGAGGTAATAAATATCTGTATTTATATGTCATGTGTTCATCTGTTTTACCTCAGTATATTTAAAAACAAACAACAACAACAAAAAAACAATCTAGTTTTGTGATGGTTTGCTGCAGTGGATTATAATTGCTGAAAGAACCATCAAGTTATACAATTAAAGAGTAAGCCAAATTGGGAGGAGAAAAAAAAACAACCCAAACTTATTATATTTTTCCTGGGTTGATGTCCTCTCAAAACAGAGGGAAAGTGTACTAGAAGTAGCAAGCAAAGAGAGCTGGTTGGAAGTGAATTTTTGCAGTGAGATTATTTACTTCTTTGCTTGTTTGTCTTATGTGAATGACTAACATTTTTCATTGTTTCCTCAGTAATTAAATCCTAATTGCTTGTGGTCATTTTTCAGGGGAAGAGCACTTCCCATCTGATTTGTATCTGATTTGTTTGTTTAAAAAGCCCTTCAGAGAACTGTCAGAATTGGGGATAGCTAACTTATTTATGCTTTACAGCCACTTTCTTCCTGGCAGGCTGTTTGGAGACCAGGCAAGTACAACAGGATGTTTATACCATCAGTCTTCTGTTATCCAGTATAGTGAAAGACTTTAAAATCTCAAAAAACATAAAAATTCTGACATTATATAAATCAGAGGGAGTGCTGAAATAGGATACGTTAAAGAGCCATCTTATGATGCCAGAAGAGCTTAGATCTATAGTTGAAGATGTGTAGAGAAGGTGGAGTCGGGCTCTTTTTCAGTGGTGCCCAATATAGGGCAGGAGGTTCTGTCTGAACATGAGAGAAATTTCATTTTTTTTATTGCGCGGTTGTCACAAGATGCTCAGAGAGGTTGTGAAATCTTAATGCTTGGAGATCATCAAAAGTCATCTGGAAATGGTGAAATGGTCCTGGCTCTGGGTGATCTTGTTTGAGCTGGGATCAGACCCAATGACTTCCGGAGGTCCCATCGACATTAACCATTCTGCAATTCTGTGCTTCTGTAATGATTAGCTTTATTTCCAGGTCAGTATTGTAGCACCATGTAGTGGAAGGTCTTACAGTTTGCAGCATTGTAACAATCTGTAGATGTTTGTGAACGTTATCTAATAAGACTGGATGAAGTTACAGTAGCTGTGCTAGAATCACCGTGACTACACATAGAGCCAGATCAGGTTTTTGAAACTGTGACATTTCTCTATAACCTAAACAAACCATTCATTGATTGTGTGAAGATTATGGCATTTCTGGATTGTCTAGATTAATGTCAGTTAAATGGAAGTTAAGGACTTGGTACTAGAAAGAGTGTATCCTGTATTTTTTTCATCATACAATTCTATCAATATGTCATTATTTATTTTGCTGTTGTGGTTTTTGCCATTCTAAGCAGTATCGCAACATCATTAAATAAATAAAATTTTCTTGTCAGTATGTTCATAAACTGATTTTTGGGATTGCATAGATCCAGTTGTTCTTTCTAGTAAATATTTCAGTGTCTTAATTCAGATTGCCATCACTGCGTGCCAGATATTTTTCTTTGTACCAAATTTTGGTGACTTCACAAAGAAAACAAACATGAAATTAAATGGATATGACTTAGTCTGTGTTATACAATTTTATCATTCTGTTGTGATTTTTTATTCATATCTGGCAGGAAAAAAAAATGAGTGTTTGCTTGAGAAGAAATGCCGTTGGGCGCTGGCTTCTATTCAGTAGATATTTCTTCTTTTTGACTAGGAGAAACTATAATGGTAGAGGGAAACAAAATAAATTTATAGTGTAGAATGTCAGTTTATTGGTTGGTAGACAATGTTTTAAGTTTGTTACAGTGTATTGATAAATGATACACTTGTTTTTATGAAGTAGCGGTATTTTAAGTAAATAATTAGGTTTATTAATGCTTTTTATCTGGTAATTGCTAAGTATACTTTTATTTGGAATAAGCAAGCTGTAAAAGAATCTCTACTGTCTATTTTACTCTATAAAAAATTTAAACAAAGCAATCTCTAGAATTTGTTTTGGAAATTTCATCTACTTGGAGAGGTAATGAAAAACACATGCCTTTGGGACTTTGGAACTTAAATAGCTTATGACAACGGTATCTTGCAAAATGTCTATCATGTGCAACTCCTTTTTTAAACATTCTTACTCTGTTCTTATACCATGTTAGGTTTAATCTGCTGGGGTTCTTCCATCATTTTGTGGCTGCACAAATATTTATGTCAACTTAAAAGAAGAGGTAATCAGGATCTGGGAATGTGTGAACATGGTGAAAAATCTGCTTTAGGTGCCAGAATGGGTCTATGCCAGCACATGCTCATACCCAAATCCTAAAGAATGTTGAGCATTGGGCAATCCCAGGGAGAAAGTAGATCTTTTGTTAAGATAAATCTGTAGATCTGCATAGCTCTGTTAGCCAAACTAAGAGCCAATTGTTAGAAGAATTTTCAAAGTCTGTTGTTTGCTTCTGCTGTCATGTGGCCTTAAAGAGCTAAACTTCAAGTCACAGTATTCCTGAAGTTCATGCCCTGCAAGCTGAGTGCTTAAGTAGCTGAGGTACCAGGATCACAGCTTGCTGAAGGAACCTGAAGCAGATGTTTTTTTTTAAATTCAGTTTAGGTGAATGGATATGCAGAGCCAATGTCCAAAGATCACAGCAACCAGTCAGAAGAATTAATAGAGGAAAATCTACAGGCCTGTAGATTTATCTGGTTATGATTCAGTCTGTAGTCAGGCAGTTTTCCTGTGCTGGAAAATATGAAGTAGTATTTTGTTAGAGAGAATGGGGAAGTTTAGGTGGATTGTACTATTGGTCAGAATCACTTGTGTTTCTTATTTTGTGTCTTGTAAAATACCAATCAGTTTTCCTTTTGATTTTGTTTATAAATTCAGATGCTCATATATAACCTCACCTGCCTCTCAAAATATTTGGAAAAAAGACAGCTTTACATTAAAAGATTGCTCATTGTACAGACTTCGGGGTGATAACTGTTATATCTACCTTTTCTTTTATATCCATGTGTTCTGAAGAGAAAAGGAAAAATGCAAAAATAAAAAAATCACTAATCTTTGCTTGATACTTTGATGTTATAATACTTTTTTTAATGGTTCTTCTGTTCCAGGCACCATACAAATCTCTTTAGTGTTTGAGAGCACTGTCAGTAAAGTTTAAATTCTTTGGACTACTTTCAGTCCTTTAATTTAGGTTTTGATTCCTTTTTTAGTTCAGGATACATAAGCCAGCCAGGGAACTGGAAATATACCATCAGATGAATTTTGATTTGGAAGATGATAGAAGAAGAGCGTTAATGATCTGAGAATGAACTCCAGTTGCTTGTTAAGAACTATAGCATCTGGGCATCAATGTCTCAAAGAAGACAGGCTTCTCTTAAATCATTGTACAACTGTAATGAAAATTCTCTTCTTCCTCTGGTCAGATACAGTCACAGTATAGTTTGAGGGAAACTACAGCATGAGATTTGAGTGCTAGTGATCCATTTGGTAGTTCTACACTTTTACAGCCATTGCTAAAACTGTATAGTCAATTCTCAGCATCTTCCAATTTACTCATCATCAGTGCTCAGCATTGTCCAGTTTTTCACTTCTGACTTAAATTTCTCTTGCTCTAAATTCCATTCTTTGGGTTGTGTTACATCTTTACCATATCAGAGTTGCTCTCTATATGGTATAATTTTTCTGGCAAGTACTTATCTCTGTAATCAATCTTCATTTGGCAGAATTCTTTGTATCTTTTGCTATTGGGTGCATTTTCAGGTCTTTATTCATATGTGTGACTAGTCCTGTATCCAATTTATGTGTGTCTGGTGACTGTATATTTACAGCTCTGTTTAAAATATTGTATTTAATAAAATCTTTTATAGCATGTGAATGTATGCATGCATATGTCATAACATCCTACCAGCTCTGCTGTTATTAGCAAAGCTAAATCTTTTGTTTCCTCTTATTATTCCAGTCTGACATACCTCTACACAATCTTTCCCTCTCAGCATGGAATATTTTCTTTCTTTATCCTCTGTTTTCAGTAAAACCACTGAAAATCTGGTCATGTGGTCTTAGAAAAAAAATGTTAATTACTGCGTTGACATTTTCTTTTCCATCATCATTTGCAGATCTTTATTTGAGAACCTGCATCTGCATTCTGGACTTCGTGGTGTAATACAAAATATGCTGTGCTGAAGATGTGTTTGTTTCTGACTCTAATGGAATGTACTTTTTATTTTTACAGAATACCAAGCTGCCATTTTGCATTTAAAGAGGGAACACAAAGAAGAAATTGAAACATTAAAGGTATACTTCTGTAATATTTTTTCTCTTTCCCTGTCCATGCTTTCTATGGATTTAAATAGTGCAACATATACTTTCCATCAAATGTTAAAAAATTCTTTTTTTCTAAAGGTTGTTTTTGGTTGACTGTAAACTCAGAATTAATTATAATCTATGCAAGTACTAACAGTTTTCTTATTTCCTCTTCATAATTTTCCTTATTTTTGTTCTCACATGACACAGAGGACAAATTCTTCCCTATGTCTCAACAGTACTTTTACCTTTGCTTAATATTTTAAAGCACTGTTATTTACCTGCTCAGCCTTTCTCAGCAAAACATACTTCTGTAAAAAACAGTTTTATACAGTGTAAAATTGAAAGACATTTTAGCCTGAAAAATTAGCACAGTAACTGCATTTGAGACTGCCTGGAATTTTGTATTGTGTCTTCTTTATTATGCCTATTTTTGTGAATGTAGGCTTGACCAACTGTCTAATTGCCAACTTTTAATATTAGAATGCTTAATATTAGAACTCACTTTCTCTTGACATGATTAACTCTACTAAGTGAGGTAAAGATGAAAGCAAGGTGATCTTATCATAAAAGTAGAATTTAAATGCCAATGTAATAGAAAATGAATTTGTTGAGCAGTCCTACTTTCAAGAAATAATAATGGCATTTTCCTTCTCTCACCAATTGTTAAATATTTTAAAGCATCATTGCGTCAGTTCTAATAGAGCTCTGTATTACAGAGTATTTACATCTGTGTCTGCACAAAAGCTGGGGTGTAATAGTATAAAACCTTTGAAATGGAGAAGTGTGAGTTCTTTGAGTAGGTGGGGTGGAATGGTGGTAGCAACTGGTGTTGTAGAAAGAAATGCTCTGCAATAAGCTCTCTGCTCTGCTACAGTGAAGTACATGCTTTCCTAATAAGCATCTGTTAAAATTCAGCACAGGGAAATGCAAGCTTGCACTGGATCTAAGAAAAGATATAATGTGCAATAGACATTTAAAATAATAACTCTTACAAAGAACAGTGTAACCCTCTCACATAAGGACAGTGCATAGATGGAAATGATATGATGTTTTTGAGAGGGTGTTTTATAGACACAGGCTTTGTGTGAGAAAATGTGTTTGCGCATCTCCAGCAAGCCTGGAAACAGTAGAGATGGAGAAGACAAATACTGATATCAGTAGAACAAAAAAACTCAACAACTATCAAACCTGGATTATTTGGGTTTTTCTTAAGGCATCATCATGTCTTAATGTTTACTGGTGATTCTGTGTTACCTTGCTTAGTAGTAAGGAAGCTGTAAATGGATCATTTCCAACAAATTGAATTGTGAAGTAACTTCCAGCAATGAGTACACCATAAAATCTCACTGTTTTATACATGTAGATAAATATAATTTGAAAGGAGATAAAATTGAATTATTTGCTGTTCATGAGGTAGGAGGATAAGGCAGTGTCAATTTCTGGCGTTTACTTATATTGTGTATGTTTTGTTTGATGTTTATTTTCATATTTGTCACTGTTTTATCTCAGATTAGTTAGTTCCAACAGAAAAGGCTGTAGGACCATTCTGTAGAGCTTTTGGGTAATGGCAGTATTATACAAAATTTGTATTGTTAAGATCAGAAAAATAATACTTTTTTTTTTTTCCTGATGTGCAAGATGTCATTAAAATAAGGCTTTCAGAATCTCATTTTGGATTTTTTTTTTTTTTATTAGAAGACATTGGAGACCTTTCACAAAGTTCTGTTTGTCAGACTAATGATTCCTAATATAAAAGGTTATTTTTTATTCTATATTAAGAAATACACATTTTATGAATACCATGTTCCAGTACAGTGTTTTTGGTTGTGACCTTTTTTTATTGGTAGGTCTGAATGTCTCCATTGTCTCTTCCTCTTTGCTTCTCCTACCACTGCCTCTGTACTTAGCAGAGTGCAGCTTTGATTTTTGGAGCTCAGCCCAGTAAGGCATCAGGTTCATAAAAGATGCATAGTGACTAAACTGCTGAGAAATGATGCCTTAGTATGCCATTTCCAGCAGTTAAGAGTTTACTGAAACTACATTTGCACTCAAGACATATAGTGCTGATGAATAAATGATAATATTACATGGTTCTGGGACTTCTGGATCCAGTGCCATCTGAACAGTTCTTTCTCTACATGTCTATGGCAATGACTTCCTTTTACTAGAATATGACCCTCTATAGAGGGCATCCCTTTTGTATGCCCTATAAAAAGGGCATCCCTTTTGTATGTGCAAGCATTTACAACTATTTACTTCCAGGAAGATGTAGGATACCATCTGAGAAATTTTATGTAGTACCAGTATAATAACCTATTATGTGAAAAGAATGTCAACTCTTAGTGCATTGTGTCATTTTTTACAGTGGATGAAATCTGAGAGTCAAATACTGCTTACATGGTCATGTCACTTTGGTAAATGATCAATTGTTAGTTCTGTTTCCAAGCTTCAGTTTCTATTTTCATTTTGTAAGTGAACAAAATGGATGCAGTCTTCACTGTCTTTTCCCCTTCCCCCTTTTTTTATAATCTGCCCACTTTGTGAGGTTCTTTCTTCTGTATGATTTTCAAACATCCTAACAAATCCTTCCTCTGCACCTCCATTATTAGCCTTTATTATTTTCTATTTAATTTCAAAAGAATTTTTCCTAGGTTTTGAAGTTCATTTAAAAATTTTTGCCTTTCCTTGAAATTGCTTCAGTCTATCCTAGTACTTATGACAGTGAGAGGTCATGATTTTTGGTCATTCTGTATGTTAGCATCATTTTCACTGGTAAAAATGGAATGAGGAGGCCACACATCGTATACTCATCCTTGTGGTTTTTCATTATTTTGAGGAAGACAGAGTATTTTTTTTAAAAAGATTAAAAGCCTGAATTCCCACATACTACTGTACGTGTAGAATTTTACATTATAAAACTTCATATGGGACCTTACAGAGAGATTGAATTGCATCATGATTTAATGTAATAACTTGTTGCAGCTTATATGTTAAGGATGTTACAGAAAAATATGGTGATAGATATCCCAGCTGTTGGAAATGCTTGAGTTAAATTGATTTTGTACTGTGTACTGAGGGAACCCAAAACAGAATTTTCTCTGAATCTGTTCTTTTGCAAAAATGATCCAAATTCCATACTGCATATTTATGAAGAAAGTTGCTCACCTCTATAAAACATAAGGAGTGAGACACTTACTTTTTCTTATTTCCAGTATGCCTAGAAAACCCTTCAGGAACTCTGAAAGAAACTTCTCTGTTGGTGAAGATTCTTTTAAAAAGCGCTGTTTAAAGATTAAAGCAAACAATGTCAAAATCCTAGATAAGTGGAGGAAGTTAAAAAATAGAACATGATAGGGCTGTAGCAAAGAAATTTACAATGGTAGATAAGCTGAAGGAGGCGTGTGTTTTATAAGAGGATCTTCACTGGTGATTTGTTTAGTCTGAGGGGGGGGAGCACTGTTTATTTGGAATGAGTGGGATTTTGAGCAGTTATGCTTGTCATAGATATTTGTTGTCCAGAACAGTTAGTCCTCAGCTATGTCAGGAAAAAAAAGGAAGTTAGGCATACTCTGTCCCAAGAAATAGACATGCAGGGGCTTGCAGGTGAGTGGTTTGTTTGTTCATCATCAATAGGAAGTATCCTGTAGTTCTGTCCTGAAGGGCATATAATGTAATTTTTCCATTTTCTTTTGCAAGTTATATTTTTTCCTTAACTATGTGAAGGAAATTCATAATGGTTTTTATTCTTTAAGAATTGTTCTGTAAACTTTCTGTAAAACAACTCAAAGTGGACACAGAGCTTTGTCCATACAGCCAGTGTGAAAGGGTTGCTGTTTTTCTAGGTGGCTGAAACTTGCAGGAAGTGTAGCAGTCTTGAGGGATGTAAAACACTTACAGGAAAGGAATTGAATGACATGCAATTTGTATTTTATAGTGCTATCTTTATGTTATCACAGTAACCTGAGGCTTTATTCTTTTTTATGACACTTGAAATCAATTCTAGTCAGATAAGGTTCATAGTAATTGACGTTAAAATACTGCATCTTTATTTTACACAACGAATAACATTCAGAATACTTCATTAATGTCCATAATTCAATTGTAACATCCTCATAAAGGTGATACATGTAAACGTTTATATAGTAGAAGTAAATGCTTAGTTTTTACACATTTAATTTTAACTACATTTACTAGTTTGTGTCCTCAGATAATTTCGGTATTTTCTCACTTATTCTTTATTAAAACGAAAGGATGCATTTTTAAGGCCTTGAATCATTTCGTTTGTGCTGCTGAAGTGTATTTCCTGATGCTGCCACTAGATGACAGCGCAGCCTTTCCGCAGCAGGCCCTGCAGAAGCAAAATCCAAGTTTCTCAGTACGTGATAGTAGTCATCATCATCACAGTATTTTGCCCTGTAGAATCGTGTGCACAGTATCTAATAACCAAGGAGACAAAAATGACTGAATATTAAGTCAAAATACTGTAAAGGGACTGCTAAATTCCAAAATGAAGGAAACAATATGTGGATTGTATTAATCCAATATAAGAACTCAGTGTACTATTTAAAAAACATATGGAAAAAAGTTAATTCTTTTCTCCTTCTTCCTTTTAGCACAAAGGTACCAAAAATTCTCTTATGGACAAGTTTATGTTACTTTTGAATGATGGAATCAAAGTCTTTATGATCTTCAGTAATTTATGCATGGATCTTCTTTGCCATACAGTTTATTACATTTCCACCAACTCACTACATATTTTGCCTCTTACCATACACAGAACACCGGATTCTTTAGTTTTAAGTCACAGCTTTTTGTAAAAATAGTACTATATAAACAACATGATTATTGTTAAATAAGAAAATATAAGCATTATGCATATTGCATGACTGTATTCCACACATAAAATTATACATACACATAATAATGTGTTTGATAAATAAGAAAATCCATAGATAATGCATGAATTATATAATATATGTACCATTTAA